GAAAAGGGAAAACACCACATGGCACACATTAGTAGCAACAGATGCCTTCATACTCCCTTTGGCTATTTTATTACATTTTTTAAATGCTGGAGAATGTCACTAAAATTGTCTTAGAAACAGGTATTTCCACACACAAGACAGATATTACAGGCAAAACACACCCTGATGTTCCTACACTCAGTCCCCACATGCCTCAGCTCTGGCCTTCTTACCCTTCTAAGAGAAGCGAAGTCCTCCCACAGTTAAGGTTTCCTTACTTTAGAAACAATTATCCAAATGAGCCTTCAAACCCTCAATGGAGTCATGAATATGATTGGACCTTGAAAACTCATAGCCCCAGACGATGCATCGTGGGCATCAAAAAAATTCCAAGTCCTTGGGCTGGTGACCCTCAGCTCAGCCAAAAAAAACCCACACGTTAGTGAGGAAGTGGCTCATGTGCTAGGGACTAGGGACGCAAACAAGCCAATCCTTCCATGCGGGAGCTTAGTATTGATCTTGACCTTGGTGAGGACGTAAAGAAGAGTAGAGACCAGTGTTCTAAATTGGATTCAAAATGGCTTGAGGAGGATCTAAACTGCCTCTGGGAACTGATACCCGACATCGCACTCCAGGCCGTGGTCCTGGAATGTCACTTTAGGAGACTGTAGACTTCAGGATGCTTTGTCCTGGAACAGACAAGTCAGGAAGAATTCTCCTCGGAACAAGGTTTGGTAATCCACGTGCAGTTGGATATATCCAATGCTCTGAAGTTGCTACACATAAAATAGAATATGATGCATCTACCATGTAGTGATTGCATTAGAGCTCCAAAACATTCCTGCATCCCCACATTAACTGCAGGACAGAAAAATAAGAAGAAGAATAAAACACTAAAGAGGGAAGCTGAAGTGAATTTACACCTCGAGAATTCCTTCTGCCCAAACACACTGTAATAATAAAAAATATAAAAAGAGGGAGAGAGAGATATGGTCTATTATTTTTAATGTACATTGGTCTATATTACTTTCAGATCAAACAACACACGTGGAAGAAGAGAGGTCATGTTAGGAAGTCACCTGCCCAATGTTATTGCAATTCCTAGACAGAGGACTAAAACCATGGAATGCCATCTATTCCAGCTCAGGGCTTTGCTTCCCACAATTTGTTCAGTACCAAGAAGTGGCATGAAAGAGTTGTCAACACCCACTCCACCTTCCTCTGGCCTCAAAAGAATGCAGTACTTACATCTTTTTTTTAAAATATATTTTATTAATTTTTTACAGAGAGGAAGGGAGAGAGAGAGTTAGAAACACCGATGAGAGAGAAACATCGATCAGCTGCCTCCTGCACATCTCCTACTGGGGATATGCCCGCAATCAAGGTACATGCCCCTGACCAGAATCGAACCTGGGACCCTTGAGTCTGCAGGCCAACCCTCTATCCACTGAGCCAAACCGGTTTTGGCAGTACTTACATCTTTTGTTTGTTTGTTTATATTGTTATTGTTGTTTTAATTTTTATTGATTTCAGAGAGGGATCGAGAGAAAGAGATAGAAACATCAATGATGAGAGAAAATCATTGATCTGATGCCTGCTGCACTGGGATCGAGCCTGCAACTGGGGCATGTGCCCTTGACCAGAATTGAACCCGGGACCCGTCAGTCTGTAGGCCAACACTCTATCCACTGAGCAAAACCAGCTAGGGCAGTACTTACATCTTTAAACTGAACCA